TGGGTTCCTTAGTGAAACGTCCGACCAGCTCATGGAAAGCACGGACAGCCTCTGGAGTAAGGCGAAAAGGGCGAGGCTGATTGGTGGTTTTGGTGAGTGAGGTCAGTGGTGCTGTGAGGGAGCTGAAGTTGCGTATAAACCTCCGGTAAAAGTTCGAGAAACCCAGGAAGCTTTGCAGCTGCTTCAGGGTCGTGGGTAGAGGCCACTGAGCTACGGCCTGAACCTTCTGGGGGTCCATCTTCAGGCCCTGGGAGGAGATGGTAAAACCCAGGAAGGAGGTGGACTCCTGGTGAAACGCACACTTCTCCAGTTTGCAATAAAGTCCATGGTCCAGGAGGCGGGACAGAACCGCTCGAACATGACGGATGTGCTCTTCGGCCGTGCGGGAGTAGATGAGGATGTCATCTAGATAGACAAAGACCCAGCGGCCCAACATGTCTCTCAGCACATCTTTAATGAACCGCTGGAAGACGGCGGGGCTGTTGCAGAGTCCAAAAGGCATCACCAAATATTCATAGTGGCCAGTGGGCGTGATAAAAGCGGTCTTCCACTCCTCACCTTCCTTAATACGGATGAGGTTATAGGCGCTGCGCAGATCCAGTTTAGTGAACACTGCGGCTTGTGTGATGGCGTCCAGAGCGGTGCCCATGAGAGGGAGAGGGTGACGGTCCCTGATCGTTATTTTATTTAACCCTCGATAGTCTATGCAGGGCCGGAGATCCCGCTCCTTCTTCTTAACAAAGAAAAACCCCGCGGCCCCGGGGGATGTTGAGGGTCGGATGAATCCCTTCTGCAGGGCATCAGTTATATAATTGTCCATAGCCCGGGTTTCCGCCGGAGAGAGGGAGAACAGGCGACCCCGAGGGGGGGTGGTGCCGGGCTGGAGCCTGATCTCCAGGTCGTAGGGTCGGTGAGGAGGTAACCTGGTAGTGGGTTCTTTAGCGAAGACCTGAGCGAGGTCGTGGTATTGAGGAGGGATGAGCGTCAGGTCTACGTCTGTGGGAGTGGCTGCTCTGGTCCGAGGTGCAGGGGAGTCCCAGTGGTTATGGCAACCCGTGCCCCAGGCCAGGACTTTACTGGTGGACCAGGAGATGTGAGGCTCATGGCGGCAGAACCAGGAATGACCCAGGATGAGTGGCGTGGCCGGAGCCTGGATGACCAGGAAGTGGAGGGTCTCCCGGTGTTGGTCAATAGTCATGTGGAGACCCTGAGTTTGGTGGGTGAGAGGGTACGGCATGATGGGCCGGCCGTCCACAGAGGTCACGGGAATGGGTCGGTCGAGGGCGGTGAGGGGTATCTTGAGCCGAGTAACCAGTCCGTGATCGATAAAACACTCCGCAGCCCCAGTGTCTAAAAGTGCCTCCAGTCTGGTCGGGCCTTGGTCCAGGTGGAGGGAGACCGGGAGAGTGGTTCGGTGTGGAGCCGGAAAGGTGGAGACTCCGGGTGGGACAGCTCCTACTCCGACCCGGAGGGACCTTTTCCCGGTCGTTTTGGGCACGTGCCACGGTGGTGACCCAAATCCCCACAGTAAGCGCATCTTCCCTCCTGGTAGCGCCGTGCCCGTTCCTCAGGGGGAAGATGTCCCAGCTGCATCGGCTCCTCCGTCAGTTGGTGAGCCGGCCGGCGGGGTGACGTCCTGGTGTGTACGGGGGCTGACATGGTGCTCGGCCGGTTCAGGATGCAGCGGTCCAGTTGGAGAGCCAGATCCACTGCCAGGTCCAGGGAGGTTGGGACCTCGTGCCCGATCATGCCCTCCCGGATTCTCGGTGACAGTCCCTCCAGGTAAACGGCCTTTAGGGCGGCGTCATCCCACCTCAACCGAACTGCAATCGTCCAGAAGCGAGAGGTGTACTGAGCCGCCGTCTGGGAGCCCTGGCGAAGCTGAAGCAGCCGCGTCTCGTCCGAGACCTCGCTGCTGGGGTGCACAAAAGTCTTTTTCATCTCCTTTACAAAAGTCTCATAGTCATTGCAGGCAGGAGATTTCTGATTCTAAAGAGCCGCCGCCCATTCACCGGCTCGACCTGTCAGCAGTGAGGTCAGCAGGGCGACACGAGAGCAGGATGTGGGGTAACGTGCCGGTTGGCACTCGAAAGTCATGGCCAGGGTCGCCAACATGCCCTCCGGGGATCCCCTGGTTCCGTCCCACTTCTCTGGAAGGCTGAGGCGTGGTTCCATCCTGTCAGGAACAGCTGCGGTCTGACGTTGCAGAGCGATGGTCAGCTGGAGTACTAGCTCGGTGAGTGACTCGATCTTAGTTGCTTGGCGATCAGCTATGGCACGGAGCTGGTTCATTTCTGCCGTATGCTGATCCAAGGTTGCGCGCTGTTGAGCCACTTCGGCACGCAGACGCGCGAACTCCGCTGGGTCAACTTTGGGCTCAGTCATTCTGTCAGGTTCGTTGGCAGATCTGAAGCGTGACTGAGAGTTCTGTTGCCCAGACGCGGAGAGACGGAGATAACCGGCGTGGTTATTTCCTGTAGGTGTAGCTTGAGGGTTTAGAGGGCTGGTAAGCCTGGAGACTCGATGCAAAGTCTGGTGAGAACGATGACTGAGCAATGAATGAAACGCCGGCACTTCCTTAAGTAGTGTCGGCGTGATGACGTCAGTCGCCACGTTAGTGGCAGGAATGAATGGAATGCAGTCAGCTGGAGGAGTTCGTGACAAAAAGCAGATTACAACTTTAATGTAAAAAAAACAAAAATGTAAAAAACAAACAAAAAAAACACAACAACAAAAAATAGAAAAACAACAAACAGGATCTGAAAAGTCCACAAAGATAAGTGGAGCTAAAGTTACTTGGAAAACTTTAATCCTCTTTATGCTCACCCTTGGTGGAGCTGGAACCAGTCTGGCAGTATTAAGCCGGGCGTACACTGTGCGACTTTTTCACTTTTTTGAGCCGATTTTCCAGTCGTGCGAGAATCCACGACATCGGGGCGAGTTTTGCGCCGAGCGGTCGTGTAGTGTACAGGGGGTTACAAGAGGCGATTAACACCACGTGACCAGCCGCCGATCAGCAGTCGTGAGGTCGCAGGGACTTCTGGTGTGTTTAATATTTCGCTCGTCCCTCGTGAGGGTATCGCACTGTTGAAGCGGTGCTGCGAGCAGCTGCGAACAGCTACGATCCAAAAAGTATCAGAACCGCTCACGGCGCATGCGCGCGCAATCCTACATCAACGCCGGCCGGTCGCTCGCTATTTCCCTAATAGCACACGCTGTTCGTTTTTGTTTCTACACGTTTTTTTTACTCACAAAGATTGTCAAGAAAGCGTGTTTGTCGTGTTCGTGTCAAATTAAACTGATCACAAAACACAGATTCACTTTCTTTATTTCGTTTTCCTCATCCAACCCCCATAAATCCCTGTGTGTCCTCCTGCAGCACTCCCGAAGGACAACAGGCAAGACAAAAAAGTCTGACGTGTCGAGTAAAAACTGCTATTTTTAGCACATTTTTAGGGCCGACGTGTTGCTACCAGACGTACAGTGTGAGCAGTCAGGTCGCATGCGAGAACTGGGTCGTACAGTGTGAGCACATGACTCGTGAGATCTGCTCTGCGAGGAAGTCGTACAGTTTGAGCTGAAGCTGAACGCTGCGAGTGAAAAAGTCGCACAGTGTACGCCCGGCTTTACCCTATCTGCTGCTGCGCTGATGGGCTTATGGAGCTGATATTCCCCTCGATGTGCCGTCTAGATATTTAGAAGCCAGAGGGGGAGTGTTTTTCATGCTCTCACCATTCCCGGTTACTACGAGCTCAGAGGTACAAATCTCATTCTTCAGCGACCCTTTCTGTCTGTCTCCTGATAGCCCTTCCTTTCACTTTCCTTCTGCCACTCTATTCAAAAGACTTCGCCCTGATAATGCTTCAATGTCAACCTCAGTCACAAGGGCTGTAACTCTCACAGGGACGTGTCTTTGGCAGGCAGCAGGGCTGCTGGAGCTCCCTGCGAGTGTGAGATAATGCTGAATCAGAGTGGGGGCAACTTCAGCAGCTCCACAGGGACACCAGCGTCCCGGCTGCATAACAGGAGGGTGCGTTAAAGTGCACACGTGTTCAACTTCGGCCCACACTTCACGAGAATGAGCGTTTGTGTGACAAGTGTCTGTGTTTGTCTCACGCGAGTGTTTGCGTCATTACACAAAGACGCCTTTTGGGTGGAGGGGGAATGAGACTTTGGCCACAAAGGGACAATGCAGGCTTTCACTGGTGGCCATGGCAACAGAGGAAAGGCAGATAAAGGGCTGGCAAGAAAAGTCATGTGTTGATTACAGCATGAAACACTTCCATTTCATCTGAAACGCCTGTCATTACCAGCTTCAGCCACAGCGGAAAGACGAATAAGAACAGCTGTGGGATGTGTCATCAAAAGTTGACTTGTTACGTATAAGTTCCTAAAAACATATTAATGTTTATTTTTGCCTGTTGATGCTACAAATATATGGTCTGGCCATGACCACTAGACAGAGGTCAGTCGTAGGGCAGATCAATGGTGTCCATCAGTACTCAGAATCAACATCAGCAAGTTCTTAACTGTGAGTACTTATACTTTGTTTGGGAAACATGTACTAGTGCATTTCTGATCATCTCAGTTGTATTTGTTCCTTCAATGAAATGAATGTTAGGTCTTCAGATTCTGAATTAAATACTTTGACAAAAATTCAGCCACACCTCCACATGTCTGTCATTGTTGCTATTTTCCATTGCTGTAATAGTTCCTGGAACAGAACATTTTTAAATGTAGTTGGACATCACTAATGCCTTTTTTTGTTGTTGTTAATTTGCAATTGTTTGTGGCTTTTTGCAGCATTCAGAAATCTTCAAGGAAACCACTTTGGAGCAGTCGTGTGTGTTAATACGCTGTGAAGACTTCACTGCTGGTCCTGTTTTTTGTATCTGTGTGCGTGTTAGAAAGAGACTAAGTGCCTGGAAGTGTGAAGAGCCAACTGTGCACGTGCATGTGTGTGTGTGTGTGTGTGTGTTTCAAGCATGTTATATACTCACGGGATATTTCTCCAATGGTTCCGTCAGTAATGCGTCTCCAAATATTGACCGGCAGTACTCTGCCATCTTTGCCTGCTGTTTTGGTCTGGGGACGATACACGCACGCACGCACGCACGCACACACACACACACACACACACACACATGTGATTTCTCTCCCAAATGTCAATACACTGCATATGTATGTATCTCCCCTCTGAGCTATTAGAGATAACACAACCAATCAGAATCTTCTGCTGGGCTCTGGAGCTGACAGCTGACAGACAGAACTCATCACAAAGGTCAACAAGTGAAGCTGCTGACTACAAACAAATGGCTGACTTACGAATCAACGTGGTTCTCAAAAGACAGGATGATGGGAAAAGGTGAGGTCTTGAAGGCACACTCCGCGATGGCCTCGATCACCTCCTAAAAAACAACGTAAATTCCATAAGTGAGATTCACATGTGTAAAAGCTCCATCATCGTCGTCACATCACTGAAAGTGAAAGTCGGGAGATGTGAGAGTGGAGCATCAGAAGTCTTCTCTTCAGAAAAAAAAACCATCTTTTTTCTGTAACTCAACCTGAAGCTCTTCTCTGTCCTCATTTCACTCTCCTTCTTCTCTTACTTTCATTAGATCCTAGTTTCTCTGACATCTCTGCCCTAAAGATGTTCATGCTTTCCTGCTTCTTGAGTAAAATATTTTTTTCCCTAGTTTGTTTCCTCCTTGATAGACTTGAGTTAATCACCCCTCAGCACTTTTGGACTGTTCAGAGCATTTTGATTTCAAACATCCTGCTGAATGTCCCACTTTTTTGTTTTTCTTCCCCTTTTCTGCAACTTTGCCGTTTTTCTACACTTATCTTCTCATCTTATCCTCTTCTATTACAAATCAATTATAAAAAAAAAACATGCATCCAGGCAAGAAACAGGTGTAATTTAACATAAATTCATTAAAAAACTTTCTGCAAACTAGGTTTTATGAGTTTAATTGTGCGTTTTTTTAAAAAGTTGCAAAAAATGTGATGAAGAGTTAGAAAATCTGTGCAGAGCTGAGAACTGACTTCACCACAATATGTGTAGGTAAACAATTGATGAACTGTTAAAACCACAGCATTCAAACTGCATTATTCTTGGCTTAATCATGGTTTCACTCATGGTTAGAGTGCTAGAAATATTCTAGAATGCTAGATGTATTTGGTTGAATAAAATAGAGGCAGAAGGTCAGTAAAAAGATGTTTTCTGCATTAATCAGTGATGCAAACATGCAGTTTTAATTGCACACATCTGCGATGCGGTCACCCTGAGAATAAAGTGAATCAGTTTTTTGACCTGAGAGCACCTCCTCTGCACCATCTGGGCTGATTACCATAAAACAAATGATCAATACGTCTACATGGAGTTTTCACCTATATGTCAAGGTGTTGAGAGGATCTGTTTTGGTGGCCTAAGGATCAGGTCTCTGCTTTTTGCAGATAATGTGGTCCTGTTGGATCAGAACGTGGTTTCCGGCTCTCACTAGAGCGGTTCACAGCCGAGCGTGAAGCAGCTGGGATGAGAATCAGCTCCTCTAAATCCGAGACCATGGTCTTGAGTCGGAAAAGGGTAGAATACCTTCTCCAGGTCAGGGACAAGGTCCTGGCTCAAGTGGAGTAGTTCAAGTATGTGTATTCACAACATGCCCTATAGGTTATAAATTGTAAGTCGCTTTGGATAAAAACGTCTGCCAAATAAAATAAACATAAGCATAAACATCTCGGGGTCACGAGTGAGGGAAAGATGGGGAGAGAGATGGTTAGGCCTATTGGTGCTGCATCTGCAGTGATGCAAGCTGCATACCCGTCTGTCGTGGTGAAGAGAGAGCTGAGCCAGAAGGCAAAGCTCTTGATTTACCGGTTGATCTACATTCCTACCCTCACCTTTGGTCACGAGCTGTGGACAGTGGCCAAAAAATAAGATCGTAGATAAAAGTAGCCAAATGAGTTTTCTCTGCAGATTGTCTCACCTCTCCCTTTGGGTTGGTTTACGCTTGACGAGCCCGCGAGGTTCGCACGGCTCCGCACGGCGAAATTGCATCATTTTAACAACCACGCCCCTCCACCGCGCCTCCGCACGGCCCAAACTTTCCGCACCGCGCACCTAGGAAATTTTCTAACCACACGGACGGACGTGGAAAATCATGGCGGACTGGCAAGAACTAGTATGGCAGAGGTTCGTAAATACAGACATTTGTATGATTCAGCTCTCAGAGATCACCGTGATCAACATGTTGTTAATAATTCTTGGAGAGAAATAGCTCGCACTGTCGGAAAAGACGAGGACACTGTTAAAAAATGCTGGAATTCCATGTTGTAAACAACAGTAATTTTTACTTCTACTATGGTGAAGTGTTGGATGCATGCTGTAGAGCTCCATGCCGCCCCCTACAGTTTGGGAGAATATTGGCTCACCGCAGAGACAAGCCGCATGAACCATAAACGCTGCAAGTTGTGAAGCGCGTTCCATCCGCGAGCCGCATCACCAAGCGGAAAGTAAATGCGTCAAGCATAAACCAAGCTTTACAGATAAAGTGAGCAGATCTGTCATCTGGGAGGGGCTCGGAGTAGAGCCGCTGCTCCTCCACATCGAGAGGAGAAAGTTGAGGTGGCTAGGGCATCTAGTTAGGATGCCTCCAGGACCCCTCCCTTGTGGGGTCTTCCAATCGGAAGGAGACCCAAAGAAAGGCCCAGGACATGCTGGAGAGACTTTTTCTCAGCTGGTCAGGGAACATCTTGGGATTTCTCCAGACGAGCTGACCCAAGTGGCTGGGGAGAGAAAAGTCTAGGCCTCCCTGCTTAGGCTACCGCCCTCATGACCCGACCCCAGATAAGCAGCTGAAAATGGATGGATGGATGGAGTTTTCACCTATGTCACTTACTGTAGCAGATCAGCAGTCTATATGTTTAACAAATAACAGTGGATGGAAGACAGTGAAAATATTGATGAACACTCACGGTAAAATAAAAAGTGTCACCAGGTTTCGGTTCTACAATTTTATACGTGTAAAAATATGTAAAAACACACAACCTCAAGACTTCTGAAGGCCTGGATGTTGACACATGAGCCCAAAGCAGAGATATTCACCCATGGTGGACAGTGTCTAATTAGCAAAATCTGAATAACTCATTCCAGCTGTCAGCACAGCGATGGAGAGTTGATGATGTGAGTCCTGCATGAACTCCTCTGAAGACCAACATGTTCTGGAGTCAGCTGTGAGTCTGGCTGTCTCACAGCTCACACCAAACTGGAGCAGAAAACAGGACAACGAGGTCTAGACTTTGACCCAAAAAGCTGCAACAGAACTCTACAAAACGCCTGAATGAACTGAAGCAACGTAGTAAAGAAAAGTTAAGCAATGCCACAAAAACTATGTGAGAGAACGAGAAAGTCAAACAGAAATGGTTTACTTCCAGGTTTTGCTGCTAAATGTGGTTTTAAAAGAGACCATGTTTAGTTTTTACTATTAATCTCTGGAAATATCCATCAAATTGTTGTAGTAAATGACTTAAAAAGATGCCCAGTTGTAGAAAAATATTGGCAGTTTCGTAACATATAACCATAAAATCGGTTCTAAAATACAAGGAGCGGGTCCAAATCTGGGCGATGCCATATTAGATGCCATGTTTCCTTTTATGGAAGTCTGTGAGGACAAAATGAATTTACTGATTTGTAACAAATGGTTACAAAACTTTCACCATTAACATTGCTGTTTTACACATTTACCTCTTCACTCATTGCCAGTGGTGGAAGGGAATCTGATGTTCTTGTTATCTTGCTAGAGGTTGCGCTCTCAGGGATTTTTGACCCTAATGGGCATCCATTGGTGAGGTCTTACTTGAACACAAAAATAATGCTTGCTTGCAGTGATTTAGGTACGTACTGCCCCCTATTGTCAGGGAAACTACAAGCTGTCACTTTAAACAAGCCTACTACTGTCTACTGTTACCTGGAAGAACGAAAAAATGAATCCAATCAATGGGGCTAAAAACATCTTTTTCTAATTCTATTTGTTATGTGCCATGGATTTCACATATGTTGTCCGTGAATTTTAAAGGCACATTTTGATAGCAAGAACGCACTTTTTGAATGGAGGGAAACATTATTTTAGGTTTTGTGTGAAAATACGTCCAGGACTACAAATCTGGCCATGTGGTAAGTAGCAGCTATGCTAGGGGAGAGGAGATTCTGCAGTGACGTACCAACATCTGATTAGTAGTCATGCTAGTTACGAACTTTTACAAGCTAATAAATCTCAAAGTATGTGACTGGCGTGGTCGAAACACACATCATTACTTTTCATTTAAATTGAAGTACAACATATGTGCGATCCAGGGTGTAAGGCTAGGAGGATTAGAAAAAACCTCGTTTAGCTACATTGACTTGCATTCATTTTTTCATTTTTCCGGGGACCCAGAGCTGAACAGAAAGGGAGGAGACTCAGGCTCCCTAAAGCAAAATTGGAAAACAAATGAGCTAAAAACATTTTTCATGCCACTTAACAACGTTCTAACATAGTATAGCTAAAAATATTTTGTGGACATCAAAGAAGGAAAAAAAAGCAACTATTGGACTATCCAGTTGTCGATCTTGCCAAACCGCCACACTTCCGCACCTCCATGGGTCTCCCACTTGCATATTTAGCAACAGAACACCACTGGTGTGAGAGGTTATCCTCTCAATGACATCAGAGGAGGAGTAACAGCTGGCTGTTACCACTTCAACTTCAGGACAAACTACCAAAGTCCCCAAAATAAGTAACACCATTTGAAGTGATGGACAACAAAAGACGTTTGAACCTAGAAAACGGCAACTGGTGTTTAGCCCTATTTTGCTTGTCCTCCAAGAATGTGGGTTTCTGGTTTCAGCAGAAGCATCTCAGGGAAGAGGGGTGAGTGTTTCGTGATCGTGTTTGTGTTCAAATCCTAGATTTGTTCTGTAGATTTGCTACAGCAACTTAAAAATGACGATAGTTACATACTGATATGTAAAAGTCAAAGACAGTTTTAAACAAATTTGATTTGGCCCCGACTCATGAGGTGCCACAGGCAATTATCAAATATGAAAACGCAGGAGGAAATTTTGAGAAGCACAGCTCTTCATTTATTCAGTAACTCCATCTGTCGAACTCTGAACAGCTGACGGGTAGTCAGACTTTCTCGGACAGATTGCAGTTTCAGTGTCAGAAATAAAAACTCACTAGAGATATAAAGCAACTATAAGCAAACTAATGCTGACTAATGCTGCTATAAGCAAACAAAGCAAATATAACCCCAATATGTTTAGTTGGAAAAATGCATGGATGGTAATTCATGCATTTTGTAAATCTGCAGGCTTTAATGTGAAGGGCAATGATTTTAGAGCATTGCATCATTTATGGTGCAGAATGCTTAATAATTAAAATATTCTGAGGAAATTTTCTACTCAAAATGAACCCTGAAAGGCTCTGATCTACAGTTGTCTTGGTATGCATTTAAAGGGACTTTACGGAGTTTTGAATTTTTATGCTCGCGATTGCCCCCTCAGGCCAAAAGTGTAATGGCAGCTTCAATAGCAGGCTCGTGAACGAGGCGCGCATGCTGTACGTGCACACTCCTTAACGAAAATAACAGCTGAGACAGTCCCTTGTGTGTGTGTGTGTGTGTGTGTGTGTGTGTGTGTGTGTGTGTGTGTGTGTGTGTGTGTGTGTGTGTGTGTGTGTGTGTGTGTGTGTGTGTGTGTGTGTGTGTGTGTGTGCCCGGAGGACAGAGGACAGGAGAACACGCAGCTAATTAATTAAATAATTTGGTTCTGTACCTTTCTCTTCAGCACAGCCGACAAAGGTTTATGATGGGTCAGTCCTCCTGCATGCTCAGATCATTCCCTTCCCTTGCTTGAAAAATTGTTCCAAAATAAAAGTTGAACCCACATCTTTTTTATCTGTGAATTCAATGCCGTTCGGCGAGTCTCAAATAAAAGTTTGGGCATCTTACTGTAAAAAAATATACCATTAATGTAAAAAAGAAACTCTAAATAAACTATGTTCACATCCAGAATCGCACCTGGGTCTTCCACACGAAAGTCCGCCGTCTTATGTATCCAAAACTTTTGGGATAAATGGTAACACAAAGAGAATAATTGTGTAAGGCCAATGCATTTTGCAAGGATGTTTTTTTTCTATGCTTTTGCTCCCAAATCTGCAGCTGGATCCTCCCCTTAGCCAGTCTTGTCTCACCTTAAAGGAGATTTCCGTCGTCATGGTGAAGCCGTGAGTGATGACGGGTTCCTCGTCTGTGGTGCGACCCTTCCAGCAGTCCAATTCGATGCAGCGACACCCGGACAGGAGCACCTGTTTGTACATCTCAACTGAGGAGTTCCCTGCAAGCTGGCCCGCTGTACGGCACACGGGAGAATAAGATAGCACTGAAATATCTCCAGCAGGAAGATCTCAACACCTTATTTTCATTAGTGAAGATTTCACCAGTTCAGCTTGTTTTCCTGCAACTTGAAACACTGCCTGAGAAGTGGGTTTAGCTTTTTTTTTTTGACATTTTTCATGTTAGTTTACTTGTACTGTGAAGGCCTGCCTCATAAAGACAGAGGAACACAGAAATGTGCATCACTTAGGTGAGTGTCTCTGTTTCCTGAGGAGCAAACTCTCGTTCGTTTGCCTCGGTTCCTTTTTAACTGAGCTGAGGTATTACAGAAATTCCCTTTTCTTCTTTTCACCGCTGGAGAAATCTGATCCACTTGAAAGACTCAATGCTCTCAAGTTTCCTCTCAGAATAGATTTGAATAGATGAATTCTAATATCCATTGAGAAGGAAATGGCTTCTGTATTGTGAAGGCCTGCCCGAAACCAGTTACTGTGACTACCAGTCCAAAGAAATATTTAACTCATGAATATCAATGGATTGAGTCTGATGCCATGACTTGATTGGATAACCTCTTGAGAGCTAACTGGAGAACGAGAGCTTGATAAGCATCAGTGATTTTGACTGACTGACCTGCAAAGTATAAAGTTGAGCATCTCCGCTGGTGCAGCTTTAATTGTATTACTAAATGCATGACTGAGCAGTTCAATTGTAATAAAGGATGTGTTTGTGCAATTAGAGAGACTGAGCTCCGTACAGAAAAGGCAGATGAACTGTGCGATCTTACCTGTGAGGTACGTGTTGTGAGAGGAATTAATAAAATAGTGTGAGAGGGGAAAGGTCATGTCTTCACTCTGGTCCAGCTTCTCGGGAGGAATTATGCTGTTCTCCTCCCCATTCAGATACCTGGCGAAGCCTTCCATGGAGATCTGGCCTGCAAGGAAACAGCACAGTGGACCAGTCAGGATGAGGTTTACAAAGAAACGAAGAGTTTGCAACTCTTGCCAGATTCTGAAAAATAATGTGTAATGGGACATGGTCGATGTTGTGGCCGGAGCCATTTGTGGTGCTTTCTTTCATTTTCTTGTACATTTTTTCCCTTCTTGATGCTGCATGGGAGGAGCATGCCTGAGCCCCATGCCTGCATACTGGGCTTGCCTGCTCAGCCTTGCTCCTCCCTGAACCAGCTGTGCAGTGTTTCCATCAGCTGCTGATTGCCCGAATCACCAACGGGGGCAACAGTGCCGATCTGCCTTTCCTCTGGCCTGTTGTCTCCCACTTCGGACTTGAGACTTTTATATTAGGTAGTGATAAGATTTACTGACAATAAGAGATAAGCTGTTACATTTTGAGATTTTGAGCTGTCTTTAGAGTCATTAGTATACCCTTTTGTGTAACATTTTGGAGTGTGTGAGCTTGTTTTGGTTGCATGTTGATATCTCTGGGAAAAGACCCGTTTTGTTCAATTATTGCTTTTGACACTAGAGTAAGCAACAGAAAAATAAAATAAAATAAAATAAAACCATTGTTAACAGTTACCACTTGTGTCACGCATCCTCCATGTTACCCCATGTCCCCTAGACACCGGGGGAATATTTACAGGAAGTGAGAGCACAAATAGAAAATTGTGCAAATGATATTTGAATGATTGTAGTGCAAGTATGTTCTGATCAGCCTTTAAATAAGAAGAAAGGAGGGGATCACAGCCAAGCTGCCACTAAAGTTTAAAAACTATTATTTATCTATTTATTTATTTCTGAGTGTATGTAATTTCCTTTGTTTTTTTTGCCAAAAAACACCCCTTCAGAGTGGGCCAGTGGGCTTGCCGCTGATGTCTCCCGGGACTCTGCCAGCTTCTGGTTGTGGCCCCCCGGGGCAATCCTCTGCGCCTCTCGAGGGGGGCGGGGACTTTTCTGGTCGCAGTTTTCCTGGGGTCCCTGTGCTCTGGGGCAGCGCCTGGATCTCTGGGACTTGGAGCTCCTTCCATCTCCTACGCATCTTTGGGGGCAGATCTGTGACCCCTCACACTCTCTATTGGATGCTCCTATAGAGAAACCTTACATATACAAGCGTGGGTACACACACAGGGGCTCACATGGTGCTCTCATAAGTATGGACTTGGGCACGTTCAACACATGTCTTAAGGCTGTGGTTGGCACTAAATGCACTGTGATTTATTATCGTGATTGTTCAGTAAAACAATGTTGATTTTACATTTCTTCATCAGGTTGATGCAGTGATAGCTTGCTCCTGTTGTATTGTGCATCCCTTTTCTGCAGGTCTAGAAGCAGACTCTTGTTCATCATTGATTGTTTTAGTAGACAGTAGAATTCATGGTTCCATTTATCACAGCAAGTCTTCCAGTTCCTGAAGCAGCAAAACAACCCCAGACCATCACACTACCACCACCATATTTTACTGTTGGTATGATGTTCTTTGTCTGAAATGGTGTGTTACTTCTACGCCAGATGTAACGGGACATTTGCCTTCCAAAAAGTTCAACTTTTGTCTCATCAGTCCACAAAGTATTTTCCCAAAAGTCTAGGCAATCATTGAGATGTTTCTTAGCTAAATTGAGATGAGCCCTAATGTTCTTTTGCTTAACAGTGGTTTGCGACTTGGAAATCTGCCATGCAGGCCATTTTTGCCCAGTCTTTCTTATGGTGGAGTCATGAACACTGACTTTAATTGAGGCAAGTGAGGTCTGCAGTTCTTTAGAAGTTGTCCTGGGGTTTTTTGTGACGTCTCGGATGAGTTGTCTCTGCGCTATTGGAGTAATTTTGGTCGGCCGCTCACTCCTGAGAAGGTTCACCACTGTTCCATGTTGTTGCCATTTGTGGATAATGGCTCTCACTGTGGTTCGCTGGAGTCCCAAAGCTTTAGAAATGGCTTTATAACCTTTACCAGACTGATAGATCTCAACTACTTTTGTTCTCATTTGTTCTTGAATTTCTTTGGATCTTGGCATGATGTCTAGCTTTTGAGGTGCTTTTGGTCTACTTCTCTGTGTCAGGCAGCTCATATTTAAGTGATTTCTTGATTGAAACAGGTGTGGCAGTAATCAGGCTTGGGGTGAATAAAGAAATTGAACTCAGGTGTGAAACACCACAGTTGGGTTATTTTTTAACAAGGGGGGGGCAATTACTTTTTCACACAGGGCAATGTGGGTTTGGATTTTGTTCTCTCCCTAAATTATAAAAACCATCATTTCAAAACTGCATTTTGTGTTTACTTGTGTTATCTTTGACTAATAGTTAAATGTGTTTGATGATCAGAAACATTTTGTGTGGCAAACATGCAAAAGAATAAGAAATCAGGAAGGGGGCAAAGAGTTTTTCATACCACTGTAAATGCACCACCTGACATTTCAGCTCTAGTGGATTTAACAAGCATTTCCACCATTCATAAGGAGTAAAACCCGCTGATAAAGCTAACCCGCCCTTGAAGCTTGTATCTTTATTTTTCTTTTCATCAAGTCAAACTTGACAGTTTTGCTGCTCTCACTGGGCTCCTGTCACCACTAAACATGCTCAGAAAGTAAAATAAGAAAATAAATAAGTTGTACGCCGATAAAAGCTCCATTCTTTCATGCGCAAGTTCATCATCTCCATCTACATCACCACACCTGAGTGAATTTCATTGTGGGCTCAAAGCGAGCACACCAGCGAAACCAAAACACCTCCCACGCGCGCTCAAATGACATTACTTTAAATATGCTAAGTGATGCACGCTTGACGGGTGCAGCAGGTCCCTCCGGCCACTTTATGCTAATTAATGCGGCGTCGCCCTCTGCAGAGTTGCTGGGCTAATTAACGGCGGCTGCTGTGCATGACATCTGAGCTCGGTCGCACTCTACGTCTTGCTCCCCACTGAATGCCGGGACGCCTGACCTGTGCATCGCGCACACACATGCACAGTTAAAGAGTTTTCCCTGGTTCTTGAGGCATTTGTAGGCTACAGTGAGAACAATTTCGTTACCACAACTGGGATTAGATTGAGAATCTACACAGGTTGAATAAAAGAAATGGTATTTTTCTACTATGAGTGAGTAAGACGAGAGAGAGACAAAAAGCTCTGAATACTCATAATACTGTGCCAGTAATCAGCTCTAGCTGGATGCTTCATTTAGCGTTTAATTCATTTCCCTTCAAATGTCCCACTGTTAGACTACAGGAGGCCTAAAAATGCCAGCACAGAAAAAAATTATCTAAAGGTAAAATATTCAAACACTCTAAGCTGGAAATGAAAAGCGTGAGCAGTTTTCCACTTCATTTTTGACCACCTTACCATGCATTTATTTGATCCATATTAGTGCTAAATCCTAATGCTCAGTGTGCCTTTTTAGGAATGCCAGATCTCCCAAAACCCTGGAAAAATTTGGGCCAACAAATGTCCTTAGGAGGGATACATTCTGTGTATGTGTCCATAGCTGTGTGTGTAAAGGTAGCATGTGGAGCTCTGGACCCCTCTGCAGAGCAGATGGCAGCGCTTCCTCTGGCTAAATAAATACTTCACATGGTGAAATCTGTCACCGGGACAGGGAAGGGCACGCTTCCAGAGGGTCTGGGAAGGGATGAACACACAACATCACAGCAGGGAAAGATCACTGTGATCAAAGTCGCCACTGGGCGATCTGAGCGCGGTTTAAACAACGGTTCATTTCAGTTTTATTTGATTAGACAAATAAAAATAATGTTATCATTAAAAACACACTGAGTTTCCAGCATTAGTCAGTTAGAGTTCATGTATATTCAGTAAAATCTGTGATTAGCATAATCAGTGATAAACATCAGGAGTTTTAACATTTCATTTTGGGAATCACATTAAATATTTGGTTCAATCAAAACTGTTTTCAACCGTCTACTAAACTTCAGATTGGTGCAGCGATCTTGAGCCAATTAGAAAAAAAAAAACGCCCCGAGGTCTAATTATTTTATAATTCAAGCAACAAGATTCTGTTAAGATGCAAATAATATGCTGACTTCTTATCTTTTTATTTGGCCTAAAGGAGAGAAAACGAAGGCTGAGCAGATCTGATATATAAATAATGTATGTAGAAGTGGTCCACGGCCTTATTCATGTATTTGATCTAACATTCAAAGAAAACCCAAGTCATTTGCTCCATAATAAACAGAACACAATGTAAAAGAAGTCCCCTGCTGTGGCACACGTCTGCAGGGAGAAAATTTGAATTGGCGCACTCCCGACCTTGTTGCCTGATTTCTGAGGTGGGATGTTCTCCGCTCCTGGCAGCTACCGGGTCCACCAACACCTCAGAGAACACTGAAGCACTGCGTGCGCACGAGAGCCGCATCCCCAGTAGGGATGCAACGATACCACATTTTCCAAACCGATACGATACCGATACTTGGATCTGAATACTCGCCGATAACGATTACCGAAACTTCTACCACACAAAAAAGTGCAATGATTTGGAATACAGATTTTATTTTCTTCTCTGCTTTCAACAGGAAAAGACTGTGAGGTAGATAAAAAGTAAAATATATGAATAGAAATCATCACAAAACTAAAATATTAGGTGAACAGAAATGGCAAGTTACAGTGAGGCCATTTTCAAGCAATTGCATTGGTATTGTTTCCTAGTATCGGTTAACGTTTACCGATATCGATACCAGTATCGTATCGGTATCTGCACCGATACTTTTACCAGTATCGGTGGATCCCTAATCCCCAGTACTCGGCCACCTCAGTTCTGTGTGAATTATTCTGACTAGGTCATCGGGCTCTTTGGCAGAGATTTCAGAAACTGCTTTTAAATAGGAGCACATTAACATGGAGTGTTTCCATTCAACGTGATTTCTGTCACAACATGCCGGTGAGTGAGGTAGATACAAGGATCCACATGCGGGTGAGGGAAGCAGGCAGGCAGACAAACCAGAATGAGTTTAGAGTCTTTAATCTTGAACACACGCTGGACAATGAAACAATGAGCCAACCAGACAAAATGGACTAACAGGGTTTAAATACAGGAGGAGCTGGGACCTTGGGTGATTGGGAGACGAGAGGCAGGTGGGAGCAATTAACATGGACACAGGACTAAACAGAATGGGGAGACAGGACAGGGTGTGACAATTTCATAGTCCAAGCTCTGATTTTAGCCATATTTTAAAAGGTTTGCGTGTTTTCTTGTGGTGCGAAATTAACCGAACTGCAGCCGTCAAGATGTCTTTCAACTTTGACTGTGATTTCTTATTTGTGCCATGGATACATAACCAAACATCAAAAACACACACATTAAAACAGCAAGCAGCATGTTGGGCATGTGCTGAGGGTGGTATTGTACAGTTTCTTTATAATAAACATACAAAAATCTAAATTTCATGTACAATTATAGGAACAGTTGATATTTTCACACTAGTTTTACATCACCCATTCCATAAAAAAGAAAATGGAGCTGAAAAAAAAAGGCCAGAATGCCTTAAATCTACAGTTGAATGCGCTGTAGAAGCGGATTTTTGTTACTTTGAGAAAAAAACAATATGTGTTTTTGTTTAAAGTTACAGAGTTACAAAAAAAACCCTGATATTTTATTTCTAAAATAAAAATCGATGATCTAGTTCATAATGTTACTTCTTCTTTATGTGTGGCATTAGATGATGTTGCCCCTTTAAAAAAAGAAGGTGATTAAGCACAGGAAGTTGGCTCCCTAAGTTAATTCTGATCTACGTACTTTGAAAAAAAAACTGTAGAAAATTGGAGAGAACACGGCATTCAACACACCCGGAGGAGTCCTACTTATCCTGGAAAAATTGTCTAGTGCTTTTTAAAAATAAGCTTTGACAAGCTAGAACTGCATATGTTTCATCGCTAAGTGAGGAGAATAAGAATAATCCTACATTTCTTTTCAGTACAGTTGCCAAACTTACACAGAATCATAGCTCTGAACCATCTATTCCCTTAGCCCTCAGCATTAATGACTTTATGGGATTTTTCATGAGTAAAATGGATTCTTTTAGAAAGAAAATCATTAGCATCCTCCCTAATGTGATTTCTTCTTCCTCAATAAGTGAGGCAGCATCAGAGGTAACTGTAGAACCTCATCTGTGCTTGAACCATTTTGATCCAGTTGAGCTTTCAGTTATCAAAAAATATTAGCTTCATCTAAACCTTCAACTTGCATTTTAGATCCAATCCCAACCAAATTTTTTAAAGATGCATTTCCTTTGGTTACTGCCCCCATTCTAGATATAATCAGTCTATCCTTAGTAAATGGATATGTACCACAGGATTTTAAGGTTGCTGTAATCAAACCTTTACTTAAGAAGCCTTCTCTGGATCCAGATGACCCAATGAATTATAGACCAATATCTAACCTTCCATTTTTATCCAAAGTCCTTGAGAAAATAGTGGCCATCCAAGTATGTGAGCATTTAAACACTAATGATCTGTTTGAGGAATTTCAGTCTGGTTTTAGAGAGAATCACAGCACTGAAACTTCATTAGTGAGAGTTACAAATGATATTCTCATGGCTTCAGATAAGAATCTTGTGTCTGCTAAAATCTAGCTTTTAAAGGAGAAACTGTACATCAATGCTGCACACCTCTGAATGCCCCGTGGAGGCATTGTTTTTTTTTTAAATATAGCTATTTTTAAAATGTTTCAAATTCTAACTTTAACTAATTTTCCTTATTTAAATAATACATTTTTCCAGGGATTTTATTTAGTAAACATCAGGTTAGGTGGAGAGCTAACAGGAAGTTGGTAAATCTTTATTTTGCACTCAAATCTGCAGCTCACCCCAACCATAATTAAAATACGAGGCAACATGCATTTGTATTTTATATTAGACATGCACATTCCAGTGAAACATATACTGTAGAGCAGGGGTGTAAAACTCATTTTAGCTCAGGGGCCACATTGCGAGAAATCTAGTCCCAAGAGGGCCGGACCGGTAAATTAAAAACAACTTCAGATTGTTTTCTTTGTTATAATACAATCAATATAAAACAAAGCTGGAGCCTGAGGACAGTGTATCCAAAATAGTACAAGTACAACACCTGAAGTGTACTTGAAAATTTGAAAATAAATAAATAAATAAATCAATAAAAAAAAACATTCCTTAGTGATTCAAAGAGTTTACAGATCACATGGCTAGATCAGTTTCATGTGGCACTTAAAGCATATTTGACTCATTTTACTTTACATCTTTTAGCTTTCACCAGCACATCAATATCAGACGTCACATCCTGAGTGGCGGCCAACTTCAGGATGTGATTCAAGTTCTTGTGTGAGCCTTGAGCGCAGCTTTGTTTTATTTATACTCATTACAGAGGAAACTTGCTCACAAAGATAAGTTTATTTTCACTCTACATTGTAAAGTATGAAAATAAAGTTTACACAACCATCTCGCGGGCCGGATCTGACCCGCTTGTGGGCCGGATTCGGCCCGCGGGCAGCATATTTGACACCCCTGCTGTAGAGCCTTCTGACATTGGTTATTGTATATTCATTTATTTATTACAAAATTACAAATGTTTCCTTTTAATCCCATTTTGTAACCTTCAGACCTGATTTACCACTCAACTTGGAACATTTCTGGACCATTTGTGCGCTTTGATTGGTTTGGTTAAATGCAACAAGGTAGTAGCTTGAATTAGCTTGGCACAGACTACCGTGCATCTCTGTGTCATACATGCACGTGTGTGTGTGTGTGTGTGTGTGTGTGTGTGTGTGTGTGTGTGTGTGTGTGTGTGTGTGTGTGTGTGTGTGTGTGTGTGTGTGTGTGTGTGTGACAGAAATCTGAGCCCCTGACCTTTCTGAGCCAGCAAAGCATTGGGTTCATATTTGTCCACCAGCAGTTGAACTTGTTCTGGTTTGAGCGGAGGATAGAGGATCTCGTTCAGACGAGGGTCTCGCTGTTTGCTGTTAATGAACTCTGTCATCTGCTCCACTGTGAGGTACGGTCGACTTTTAGCCCCGCTGCACAGATACAACAAAGGCAGATTAAAGGAAAGCAGAAAGCGTGTCATGCGTGGACTAATCATGGAAACAAAACGAGGAGAGGAACAAAAAGTGGAGGAGCAGAAACTGAAGTAAAAAGAGATCAGAAGAAGAAAAAAGATGATTAAACACTTGTAGTAAATTACAGGATTTGATTAAAATGTTTTTCATATCCGAGACTGGCTCAGTAAAGTAACTTCTCTGTATTCCCCGGCTCTTGTGCTGTCTCACTTAGCTGTAATTAAAATCTGGATTTATGACCTAGAGTGGCACTGGTCGTGGTGTTGTGCTGGCTCAGCTCATGGTCTGAGTCACTCCGGGCCAAGGGGCAGATCTGTTGGGGAGGGTGCAGCAAGGGCCATCCCAGTGCAACCCCAACCTTTCCTCTAGTCATTAACTATCATGATTTATGGCATCATGGGTAAATGCAGGTGTCTTAAACACTCTGTAATACTAATCAGAAACAAATCACACAGAACATCAACCCACTGATGCTGAACACAAGTTAGTAAAACATTAATTATTGTGAATGAAGGTCTAATAAAGCTGTTACACTTCCGAGAAGATGTGGTCCAGCTCGGGTCGAGGGCAGATGTTGTTCAAGAACATGTTGTACACATCTGAAGTGAAGTCCTCCTGGGGTATGGAGTCATTCTGCAGATGACAAAAACATTTTCATTAAAAACATACATGCATACAAATGATGGGGCAGCAGGTGGTTGGAGGCGCGGTGGCAGGAACCAAAAACTGTGTAGCCAGACGGCTCAAGAAGAAGCACTGATTTACATTTTAATGTGCTCCAGAATGTGAACGAGTGTCTGACGCTGCACAGGTCATGAAGCATGCTTGGTTTTTAGGCAGAATGTTTTCCTGAGGATTTAAATTACTCCTGCAAAAACATGATCTGACATGTTTTCTTTCCTAAGGCAGTATTTGAAGTTTGCTGATGCATTAGCCAATGCCAATATTAGCCAACCCAGCTATTTATTTCTTTATTTTTCACTTAATTATTCAACTTTTAATGAAGCAGCAACCATAGCTTCCAAAATGAGGGTCAAAGAGGTGCAGAATTAAACCCAATGACACCTTAAACTTCTGCACCATGGTGGCAGTGAGTGATAATGAGCTTCTGGAAGTTCGACCTGTTTGTCAACTTTTCTGCATATTTTTATATTCATCTACATGCAAATATGACTATTTATTATAAAACTACATTTACATTTCACATGACTTTTTTCAGGCCGTTTAATCAGAAGTGACTAATTATTAGATGAATTAGACAGCGTTCGAATAATATCACCACCCTGTATGGGAAACTGTAGGAAAATGGATGAATGGGTGGATGGGCAGATGGATGGATGGATGAACAGACAGACGGACTAACGGATGAATGGATAGATAGATGGATGGACGAATGGAAAGAGGAGGATGGATGGATGGACAGATGGATGGATGTATAGATGGATGGATGAATATATAGATGGATGGATGGATGAACAGATGAATTAATGGGAAGATGGATGGATGGATGGATAAATGAATGGACAGATGGGTGGATGAAAGGATGAATATATAGATGGAAGGATGAACAGATGAATGAATGAATGGATGGATGGATGGATGGATGGATGGATGGATGGATGGATGGATGGCTTCTCTTCTGGCACTCGCAGAGTACAGACGCTTCCCTTTTTGCTCCCTTATCTTTTTTCCCCAAGGCTCTTTGTCCTGTCTGCCCACAGAGCGCTTCTCTGCACTTCTCCTGAAAACCCCTATTTTTTAGAAATGGATTTAATAAATTGGTCATTCAACGCGATTGATAAGATTTTTTCAACGATGAGAATGGAGCAGGGGGCTCCCACTTGCCCGCAAGGGACACACCCGGCGGGGTATATGCTCAATTCCTGGAAAGAATGGAGGATTATATGCCTCTCCCAGTTGTCCATTGAGGACGTCGAAGATGTGTGGATGTTTGGCCTGATGATCACTGGATTTCTTCTGATTGGAGTGGGAGGATGTCTGGTTTTCTGGAAATTTGGGAAGATGGGAGCGATTGGAGGGCAATCCGCACCCACGGAAAGCACCGTCCGTGTGGAGACCTTACAGACTGGGACGTTACTCAAGGTGAATCGTAAGCTGGACAGCGTTCTAGCTGCGTTACCGGTATTAGTGCGCAAAATGGATGTCATCTCGGAGAGGGTCACCGGACGGTGTGGAGATGTTTAAAACCTGAATTGGCTTCACTGGAGGACGAATAATCAGTTACAGACTTGAAGGCAGAGAGGAAAATTATCTCTGCCTGACCCAAACAAAGTCTTGCTATCCGAATCTGACGCCAGGGCAGCCTTGTGAATGCCAACAACAAACCCCCACGAAGGAATGCAGACAGATGCTGTGAAAACCCGACCTAACCCCCCCACCCCCCCCCACCCCCCCACCCCCCCTGGCGAGGTCTTCAACCTGCAGGTGTCAATGTGCTCTGCGCTCCTCCCAAGATCTCCCTCCCACCTGTGGCTACAGTGGATGAGCGCCATACAGGGCTGCTCTCGCTGGGGAAACAAGACCCCCCCCCCCCCCCCCCCCCCCCCCCGCCTTCCTCTCGGCGTCTCATGTTGTGAACTGTTGATGTTCGAGCTTATATGTTTGAGGAGTTTTTTTGCATAGTAAAGCTACGCCCTGCCGGGAGTAACTCTGGAATGCCTTTTTTCCCTCCCCCAATTTATCCTCATGTAATCCCCT